CTCCCGATTATGTTTTTCTAGCCGCACGCGACATTCTTCAGTCTCCTGAATCAACCCTGCTTACGCCCTCTTCCCATCGTTCATCCCTTCACCAATCCAGAGCTCTATGCTCCTCCAGTGGTCCATCCCCCAATTCCTCTTTCCATCTTCCCTCTCATCCCCATCATCCGTCTGGGGAACATCACGAGACATCAGAAAAGACGTCTCCTCATGTTCTCACCCAGAAAGTAAGGAATGGACCCGCCAGTCTAAACCAGTCAAATCTGCAGGTATAGCACACTTACCACCACGTGAAATAATTAGAGACGTTTTAAACATATGCATTGATACTCAGGGAAATTGTTCAGTTTGCTGGGTTTCAGACAACAAAAGCAATATCAGCTTTGTCTTCACATATCCAGGACTGTGAGGTCCAGCTTTGGTCTGCATTAAGACAAATCAGGTTCTCAGGTTGTAGGATTGCATAAAAAATAAAACCTCAGATGATGGATAACCTACATTAGAATATATAATTTTATATATGTTGCTAAATCATACTTGAGAACATCTTTGCATGCAAAATTTTACAAGATCAATTTTGAGCCTTGTTATTGTTCTCTATGTTAGAGTATTGAGGCACAAAATTACCTATCCATTACAGAAGTAGTACAGACGCAGACTTCATGTCTCATTGAAGATGTGAAACTAAAAGAAAACATATGTAATAAAAATATAAGCCGTAGCATGCTGCTGTGTTTTAATTGACACATTTTCTCACCGTTCCTCTTCCATGCCCCAAACTCGGGAGATCAGTTAGCGAGGAGGCAGGCGAGACTCGCTACAGCTGGAGAGGCGTCGCAGTCAAAGTGGGCGGATGCCTAAATGCTTCTTTGTCAAGAAATTACGTTAGCTCCAACTGCATTACTGCTTCTAAAACCACAACTTTAGTCTGGGTTTTTATTTTTAGACATGTTGAGTAGATAAACTGTGTAAATGAGACAGACATGGAAATGGTGATAGGCCTGTTGTTCGCTTTAAGTTAGAGTAGGCTGTTGCTCGGGCACGCTTCATATTTGTCTCGGCGTACATGAGAACACACATGATCATTCTGCATAATGTTGGCCTTTTCTCTGTATTTGTAGCACAGAAGTATCTCTGATCCCGTCAGCTCTTACACTTAGACCACTGTGCAGATGTTTCTAAAGTCTCGCCCCAAAATGTTAGATTATCGTGCCTTAGATCATCAAGGATATCAGTCTAATTTTTTTCCTTTTGTTCTCAAAGCAACAAGACAAGCCAGTCTACACTGGAAAGCCTTTCCCCAGCCTGCTTCGCTCCTGCAGAGGACTGAAGAGGGTTTGTTACACTCCTTATCCGCTCCTCAATCCTGCCCGCAGAGGAACTGGGCTCTTCTCCTCCATTTCAGGTCTCAATCACAGAGAGGAAGGAACAGCGTGTGGAGAAGAGGGCGAAGAGGAGTGCAGCGTGTTTCCGTAAGTAAAGTGCTAAATATCAGAAGAGTAGTGGCAGCAATGCAACAGTTGTTACTGTACTGCTGGCTAGGATAATAGTTATAGAGAATCAGAGCTACAGATGTTTTGTTAATGAGAAAGCATTAACACATCAACGGATATATATTTAGGTACTTTAAAGTTTATATTGTTGTCTTTTATGTCTGTTTTCATATTTGCGCTCCGTTTGTTTCTCTTTTTGTTCCCCTGCTTCCAGATTTGTCAATGTGGGTCCAGATTTCCAGGCTAATCTTCCTCCATGCTTAGCCGATGGCAAACGGTCAGGGCTGCGGTCACCAGACGAAGAGTCCCTTAAGGAGCAGTTACTCTGGAAACCATTGGACAAGAAAGAAGAAACTGGTGACTTACCAGGTCAAGGTAAGCAGCACACAAAAATACAGTCCAGCTCAGGACAGTGACTGCACTTTAAAATTTTGTGGAATTCAAGGACTTTCAACATTTTAGGGAAGCTAAAATGTCAGGGCTGAATTTAAAACAAGTTGATATAAGTGAGCAAAATAATAAAGTGTCTCTAAAATGAACTGGTACTGAACTGATTAAAATTTACTGGGTTTATCTGTGTTTATGCTCAGTGGAGAAGCTGCTGTCCATGTGCAGTTCCAGCTGCCTACCAGGAGGGGGCAGTAACTCAGAGCTGGCTCTGCACTGTCTGCACTCTTGCCAGGGAGACACAATGGTAGGAAGTCTTTCTTCCTTTTCTTTATCCTTTTCTTTTTTGTTTTTTTCTTTCTTGGCAATGTTGCATCCCTCATTTTTTGTTCTCTCCATCTTCCGCCACTCCCTCCTATGCAGGCAACACTGGAGATGCTGTTGTTCTCACAGCCGTCACCAGCAGGAGACTACCACTACTCTGGTAACCTTTGACCTCAGTTTAACTCACCTGCTTAGATGACTCGTTGGATTGACAGTGTCTAGTTACCCAGAAAACAGTCGTTTCTCAGAAAAAAAGACCATTTACATGGACTAAGCACACCTACTTGTAACATTAAAAACAATAGTTTTTGGTTTTATGAAAATTATATGTTAGTATCATGCTGGCATAAAACTATGGACATGTTGCATGACTTTTTATTCTGTCCACCACTACTCCAACCCAACTTTTTACTTGATGATGATGACGACGATGATAATTACTATTATTATTATTAATATTATTGTTTTGCTGTTATGCATATAAAAAAATGTTCTTGTTGGTGAATGCTTGCCTCTGAGGGAAACAAAAATTGTCTTTGCAACAGCAAAGTCCAATAGTGGTATTACTTGTAGGGGTTTGATTGGAGGGGTTAATGTGTCTATAGCCATCTATAGCAGAAGATTAAAAGAAGTCACATGATCTGGACATGGGTCTGTGTTCAGATGGGATACAGTTTTTCTAACTAACTATCTAAATAACAAGGTAACGGCAAAAAGCGGTGAAGCAAAACTAGCTAAAATATGTTGTGATCAGAGGCATTTACTTCTTGTGTTTCTCTGAAACACTAAGCAATGTGAGACAGCAAAGGCAGAACAATTCTCACTGTGCGTACAATGAAGGCATTGTAGCAGCTCAGACTTCTCTCTATCGACCTCAATCACATACCACAGCCCCTCCTCCTTGCCTGGTGCTTTTAAATCCACTAAGAACCATGTAAAGTACAGAATGGACATTGTTTTGCATGGTAGTACCCATGTGTTCCTGTAAAAAAAAGCTTTAATACTCTAAATGCAGGCAGTACTGTTCACAGAGACAGACTGCAGACTTACTGTTCATCTATTTGTCTTTCACTGTCAAGTTACTACATGTGGTAGCATTGCTTAATATGTTACTGTGACCCTGTAGCATTTCCTTTGATTTCTCATGCACCTTTTGTCCCTTCCCACTCTCTTGTTGTGTGTAGGCTGTGATCTTTGGACAGATACTGAAAAGACTCTCTTCAGTGACGCTCTCGGGACTTATGGAAAAGACTTTTCACTCATACAGAAAATGGTAAAACACAACAAACAGTTGTTGTTTGTGCAACACAATGACTCACGGCACCATAATCACGGTCACATAATCAGCCAGCAGTTTACTGAGATAAAAATAACTATTTGTGGGTCAAATCAGCGCATAGAATGAAAAACAGAACATCAGCACCACAAGTAATCTGCTGGGTGGTTACTTCAGGGTGAAACAGTATGTTCCTCAGATGCAATTTTCTTCTTCTTCTTGCCTATACCTGTTCAGTTTTTGGTGTTTCACCATGCATATTACTGGACTGCATCGTCTTCCCCAAAGGGCATTTTGGCACTTCAAGGATCAAATTACTGACCTTGCTGTTCATACACAAAAGGCAGTGGCTTCACCGCCTGAGCCATCAGAGAGCCAAGTACATGTTGCAACTCGATTCACAAGAGCAGCAGTTTGCACACGAAAAGTCTGGAAGAAATATCTGATTGTGTCAGGTGATTCTTTGCTTCCTGACACGTCAGTTCATAGGGTCTTTTTAGCCATATTTACAGCAGAAGCATAGACTGATTTTATATTCCTGTGTCACGGTGTAAGATATATGTTATGTGGCAATAAATCGAGATTGGTATGTGTGTGTGTTTCAGGTGAGGACTAAGACAGTGTGTCAATGTGTCGAGTTTTACTACCTGAGCAAAAAGCTGCAGGACAAGCAGAAGAAACAAAAGGAGGAGGACGAGCGACGAGATGGAGAGCTGGATCAGCAGAAAAGTGTAAGAAACATTAAAAGAAGCCGCAAGGAACTTAAAATTGCATTTTTTCCCCC